AGTGTCCAGCACCTTAACCACCATGCCACCTGCAGGCCCTCCAAGAGAGTTGTGCTATAGGGCACATGTGCTCGCTGGAGAGACAGAGACAGAAAGTGAGAGATCACCCCCAGGTGGGGGTGCGGCTGCACAGCCATCCCTCCTCTCTGGATTTTGGGCACACACGTAACACCCTCGCAGCGTGAGTTTCAAGTTGCCAGGTCCGCGACTTGAACTGTGGGCGACCATGTGGCAGTCCAGCACCTTAACCGCCATGCCACTGATTTTTTAAAAAATTTCTTTCATGAGCGAGAGGGAGCCAGCAACCTCAACAGGCTGTTAGTGCCGTGATCCACCCCAAACCTGCCCTCCTGGGTTGTGGGCACACATGCCTGGTGTACCCGGGAGGTCTCTGCATGTGAACCTGGAGCCCTCCGGTTTGGCTCGCCCTCACGAGTGGCATGTTCTTCTGCTGCGCCACCATCCAGCCCCTGTTCCCACCTTTTTGATAGGGAGGGAGCTGAGGCTCAGGGCTTTGGGGGTGTTTTTTTGGTCAGAGGTGGCACGTGCCTGCCAGCGTCAGAGCAAGCACCCCTGTGGGCCATGGCCGTGTGCAATCCCGTCTCCATTTCTCCTTCCTTTGGGATTCTGGCACGTACACAGGACACGCCCGCGTGTTTTTCAAGCTTCCAAGTCCGGGCCTTGAACCTGTGGTTGGCCATGTGAGATCCAGACGCCTTAACCACCAGACTATGGAGCCGGCCCAGGCTCAGTTTTTTTTTTTTTTTCTTTTCTTTTTTAAGAATTATTTTACTGTGGACCTGCAGGTGGCATGGTGATTAAGGTGCTGGACATTCCCATGTGGCCGACCAGAGTTCGGGTCCCAGACCTGGTGGCTTGCTTTCTCACCCATGCCACCTGCTAGCCCCAAGAGATTTTTTAAAAAGAATTATTTATTTAGTTTTATTCATTTATTTTGACCAGAGACACACACTGGAGAGCGGCAAACAGAAAGCAAGGCGCTAGGTCCGGGACTCTAACCCTAGCCAGGTGGGAGTGTCCAGCACCTTAACCACCATGCCACCTGCAGGCCCTCCAAGAGAGTTGTGCTATAGGGCACATGTGCTCGCTGGAGAGACAGAGACAGAAAGTGAGAGATCACCCCCAGGTGGGGGTGCGGCTGCACAGCCATCCCTCCTCTCTGGATTTTGGGCACACACGTAACACCCTCGCAGCGTGAGTTTCAAGTTGCCAGGTCCGCGACTTGAACTGTGGGCGACCATGTGGCAGTCCAGCACCTTAACCGCCATGCCACTGATTTTTTAAAAAATTTCTTTCATGAGCGAGAGGGAGCCAGCAACCTCAACAGGCTGTTAGTGCCGTGATCCACCCCAAACCTGCCCTCCTGGGTTGTGGGCACACATGCCTGGTGTACCCGGGAGGTCTCTGCATGTGAACCTGGAGCCCTCCGGTTTGGCTCGCCCTCACGAGTGGCATGTTCTTCTGCTGCGCCACCATCCAGCCCCTGTTCCCACCTTTTTGATAGGGAGGGAGCTGAGGCTCAGGGCTTTGGGGGTGTTTTTTTGGTCAGAGGTGGCACGTGCCTGCCAGCGTCAGAGCAAGCACCCCTGTGGGCCATGGCCGTGTGCAATCCCGTCTCCATTTCTCCTTCCTTTGGGATTCTGGCACGTACACAGGACACGCCCGCGTGTTTTTCAAGCTTCCAAGTCCGGGCCTTGAACCTGTGGTTGGCCATGTGAGATCCAGACGCCTTAACCACCAGACTATGGAGCCGGCCCAGGCTCAGTTTTTTTTTTTTTTTTTCTTTTCTTTTTTAAGAATTATTTTACTGTGGACCTGCAGGTGGCATGGTGATTAAGGTGCTGGACATTCCCATGTGGCCGACCAGAGTTCGGGTCCCAGACCTGGTGGCTTGCTTTCTCACCTTCCCTCCCTCTCTCTCTGTGTCTCTTTCTGGTCAAATTCTTTTAAAAAAGAAATAATAAATAAAATTAGAATAAATTCTTTTTTTTAAAAAAAAGAATTATTTTATTTAACTTTATTTATTTATTTTATTTGATCAGAGAGGTATAGAGCAAGAGAGAGAAAGAGAAAGCCAGAGAGCAAACTGCCAGGCCCAGGACTTGAACCATGGTCGGCCATGTGGGAGTCCAGCGCCCTTAACCACCACGCCACCTGCCGGCCCCCAGGCTCAGTTCCTTTAGCAGCTCGAGATCCCTGTTAGTCTGGTAGCCCTGCACGTCCCTGAGCATCGCTCCTTGGTGGCAGCTAGTCCAGGAACTGTTTCCCCTCTGCCACCTGGGCCTGAGAGCTGTCCCTGGGGGCAGGAAACTCGTACCCGGCCTGCCCAGGGGGAGGGGACTAACACGAGACCATTACGGGGGGTTTGGAGGACAGTGGACCCTGCTGCCCTCACCCTGATCCGTCCCCCCTTCCTCCCGGAGCCAGAACTGGAAGAAGTTCGGGAACTCAGAGTTCGACCCCCCGGGGCCCAACGTGGCCACCACCACAGTCAGCGATGATGTCTCCATGACGTTCATCACCAGCAAAGAGGTAGGTGGGCTGCAGCGTGGGCCCACGCCCAGGGCGGGTGGCAGGGCCATCGGCCCCTCTGAGCCGCCCGCCCTCCTTCCCTGCACCCTGCCAGGACCTGAACTGCCAGGAGGAGGAGGACCCGATGAACAAGCTCAAGGGCCAGAAGATCGTGTCCTGCCGCATCTGCAAGGGTGACCACTGGACCACCCGCTGCCCCTACAAGGACACGCTGGGGCCCATGCAGAAGGAGCTGGCCGAGCAGCTGGGGCTGTCCACCGGCGAGAAGGAGAAGCTCCCAGGAGGTACGGGGCTGGGGGAGCCTGGTTGTACCCCACATGGCTGTCACCTCTCGCCCAGGGCGGCACCACTGCTAGGCTGTGACACTTTCCTGTCTGTTCTTCATGGGAGCTGTGTGTGTGCTTATTTTTGGAGGGATTTTTGCTATAGGGTGTGTGTGCTCAACAGAGAGAGCAAGAAGTCACCCCCCACCCTGGGAGGATGGCCACACCGCAATCCCGACTCCATTCTCCTCCCGGGATCTTGGGCACGCATACACACATACATGCCTGGTGTGAGTTTTAAGCCACCATGTCTGGGACTCGAACTGCAGTCGGCTTATGTGGAAGTCCAGCAACATAACCATTACGCCATCTGCTGGTCCCGTGTGTGTGCTCTTTTTGAGAGGATTTTGCCTTAGGGCTGTTGTGGTCTCTGGAGAGAGACACAGTGAGAAATCACCCCCCAGGGAGATGACCAGGCTGTAGTCTCTCCTCCGTTCTCCTCCTGGGATCTTGGGCGTGCACGCCCACACCCAGTGTAAGTTTTAAGTCACCGGGTTCGGGACTTGAGCCGCGGTCGGCCGAGTGGGAATCCAGTAACATAACCCGCTCTGCTATCTGCCGGCCCCTCTCCTTTCTCTTTGCGTCTGGTGGTTTATTGGGGAGGGGTGCACCGGAACGGGCCTGGCTGTGTTGCATCCTCCTCCTGCCGTCCTGGCCGGCATGATCACCTGAGCACAGGCCCCGTGTTCAGGTCAACCCGGGATCTGAACCCGGGCTTCCTGTGTGACTCCAGCATCCCCCGGTGGCCCCTCTACCACCGGCAGGACTTCTGTGTGTGTGACCACACTGCAGTCAGGAGATGGTCGTCCCCTGTGTGCATGTGGCTTGCAGGCTCTATATGGGACCTCTGGGACTGCCCTGCCTTGGCGTGCCGTCTGCCCACATGTCACCGTGTGGGTATGCGTGTCCACAGGCAGGACTCACACGTAACGTCCTCTGTCCACAATCCTCTGTGCGACCTGACGTCGGGTTTGAGCCAGGCCACGCCAGCCCTGTGGCTTAGGTCTCCTGCCTGGCGTGGGGTCCTGGGGACCGTCCCTGTGTGTCAGTGCCTGCTGCCCTGTGGGAGGCTGGGGCCACCTGGCTGTCCTTGTGGCCCCCGAGGCGCTGGGCCTCCCAGGGACCTCCAGCTGCCTCTGGCCCAGCGTGACTGCCCTTTGGTCCGCAGAGCTGGAGCCTGTGCAGGCCGCCCAGAACAAGACGGGGAAGTACGTGCCCCCCAGCCTGCGGGACGGGGCCAGCCGCCGCGGGGAGTCCATGCAGCCCAACCGGCGAGGTGAGCGCGGGGAGGGCCGCCCCGACGCGGGCACCCTGTAATTATCCCGGGGCAGTGTTTGGGGCCTTTGGGTGGGGCCTTGGATGGTGGGACCCGCCCTCAGCGCTGCTTGCCTCGCCGCACAGCGGACGACAACGCCACCATCCGCGTGACCAACCTGTCCGAGGACACGCGCGAGACCGACCTGCAGGAGCTCTTCCGGCCCTTCGGCTCCATCTCCCGCATCTACCTGGCCAAGGACAAGACCACCGGCCAGTCCAAGGTGGGCGGGGGCCGGGGGGGCCTGAGGGCCGGGCCTCGTGTCCCGTGTGCGCCCCCCTGACCGCACTCCCATCCCCCCCCAGGGCTTTGCCTTCATCAGCTTCCACCGTCGGGAGGACGCCGCCCGCGCCATCGCCGGGGTGTCGGGCTTTGGCTACGACCACCTGATCCTCAACGTCGAGTGGGCCAAGTAAGACCCTGCCCTGCCCCTGCCTGTCCCAGCACCGCGGCCGCCCCGAGGCTGAGGACGGGCCTGGTCACGTGCCCCATCAGGCCGTCCCTGCCATCCCCTGGGACCCCGTGGGGGGCGTCTTGGAGGCTCTTTGGGATCTGTGTTCCGCACAGCCCACCCTCACCCCTCCTCTCCTCTCTAGGCCATCCACCAACTGAGCCAGCTCTTCAGGGACCTCGGTGACGGTGACAGGAGGCGGGCAGCCCAGAGTGGGGCCTTCAGGGCAATAAACAGCTGCAGTCGCCTCCATGTGCCCTTTATTCCTGTGTGTCACTGTCTCCCCACCCCTCCCGTCCCCAGCCGCGAGTGCTCTGGCCTAACGGGGTCAGTTCTGGGCTGTGGTTCCTCTGGGCAGGGGCTGGTCCCACCCACCTGCCACCACAGGCTTCTCTGGGGAGGAAGCAGGGTCCTGGCGCCTGTGGTGAGCAGGCGGCTCCGGTAGGCCGGTCACAGCTGGCTCTGCTCCAGGGACCGTGGCTCTGCGGTTTTGGCGGTGACCTCGAGGGGCCGGGCGTGGCCGGAGTCCTGGGTGTCCTCCGGCTCCAGGCATGCCCTGCACCCTGGGCAGCGGAGGCGGCGGCAGCAGCCCAGACTGGGCGCCACGGCCATGTAGAGCAGGGGGTGGAGGCACATGGCCAGCGGGATGAGGCCGCGCGTGGCCTGGTAGCTCAGGTAGGTGCGCAGCTCCAGGGCGTGCACCGCCGCGCTCTCGCTGGTGAAGTTGGGGCAGCGGGCCCTCCAGCGCAGGCGGGCGTACACGTTGAGCACCCGCATGACGTGGTAGGGCACGTAGGAGCCGGCGTACAGGGCCACCCCGCTGGCCACCAGCACGGCCACGCGCAGCTTCTCGGCCACCGTAGTGCCGTGGCTCCGCAGCACGGCGTGCACCAGGGCGCCATAGGCCGCGAGCGTGAGCAGCAGCGGCAGGGCGCCGCCCAGTCCGGCCAGCGCCAGGCTGTAGGCGCCGTAGGCCTGCAGCTGGCTGTCCCCCGCCGTCCCCAGGCACCGGATGCCGGCCTGGGGGCCGCTGCTGCTGCCCGCC